AGGATACCATGGTTTACCTGGGACGGTGTAGAAGGATGCCCTTCAGATGTATAGTTGGGTTGCAGCACCCATAAACCCAATCTGACATGTCAGGGTTCATGAGAATTTTAATCCCAAACATTTGGAGTTGCCTACATTGGCCTTCTGTGTTCCTTCAACAGCAGATGAACAGTGGAAGGAAAATTTCTTATTGCACAGGAGTTGTGTTGAGAATGACAGGACAAACTTCATCATTGGGACTTGCATTAGGACTTTTAAAAACACTTCTTCCTCCCAAAATTTTTCATCTGGTATAAACATCAAGGATATTTGCATGTGTATTAGGTGTTTTGCATAATTCTGCTTTTGCTTGTTGTTTATCAGCAACATAAAATCCTTACATGTCACTAAAGCTGGATGCTCTGATTCCCTGAATTGTTGCTTACTAACCCTCTAGTTTTCAAACTGGGCAAAAGGCTTTTGTGATCTCGAGGGTGAGGAACTAACTTCCTTTCTTCCTCTTTTGTAAAGGCAAGCCATAACTCTCAGGATACTGTATTCTGCGCGCTCTTCTGACTTTTACGCTTATCACAAAATGCGAATTTGTTAATGGTTAGACTTGTTATTAAATCCTTCAGATCCTCATCATTCTGGGAGCTCTGAGTGCGGGAGAGTGATGCCTTAGACCATGGGTCTTCAAACTGTGACCTGCTGGCCGGATGCGGCCCATCATGGCCATTTATCCAGCCCGCCTCAGAGGTTTTGGAATCCCTGTGCCCACTGCCACCCACCTCGCACGCACGCATGCACGTGGGTGGCAAGGCAGAGGCTTGCTCGCTCAGAGATGGTTTTGGACTCGCTGGGAGATCTCTGAGTAAGCCACTGCTGCGTGGGCCCACTACCTCGCCCATGCCCACTGCTGCCTCGCGCACGCCTGCTGCCGCCTCACCGGCCCGGGTACCCGTGCCTCACCGGCCCGTGCCCATCGCTGCCGCCTTTCAACTGGCCCTCTGTTGAAAAAGTTTGAGGACCCTTGCCTGAGACTGTATATCAGACAAAGCATATGTAAATATGCAGAAGGACACCTGAGGTTGGGGCATTGAAGAATGAGACACTGGTGTTTCCACTGGTCCAAGATTCCTGTGATTTCATCAGGAGAGAGAGCACATGGATATTTAGTGTTCAGACAGGCTTGGAGAAAGTGTACTGAAGGAGGTGTTGCAGCAGTTCAGAAAGTTGGTCCTGAATTGCTCTCATCAGCAAAATGCAAAAGTTCTGTAGATGCTTGATAGGCTGAAGGTCCCCTGACTCCATGCATTCCTGTGTAATAGCTTCTGGGCTCTTGATGAAGTATGCTTGTTGCCCAAGTAGTAATAAAAATTGGCTTGCTATCCTGAAAAGGTGGAAACAAAAGCTGATTCATAGATGCTGCTGTTTCAGGGATATTGTATTGGTCCTGCTTGGGGTTTATTTAGAAACCCACTTTTGCAATGTTTCATAAAATTGACTGAGACTGCATTTGTCTACATCTCTCATTCTGTGTTAGTCCATAGATGAGCACAAGTTCTTCATATTTCTGTAGTACCTGATGCCTTTTTCCAAACTTGGGCATTGAATTCAGCTAACCTGGAGATGTTTTCTGTAGGATCTTCAAATGGGCACCCTTTCTTAGGAAACAGAGAGATGCTCATACCAGAACTTTCAGTCATCTCCACCTCCTTTCTCCCATGTCCTCTGCCACACTCGCCCCCCCCCCCCCCCCCGGGAGAAAGTTAGTAACAACAGAAGTGGCTGTTCTTTTGCTCCCCCACCCCCTCCCAATTGTAGTATGTGAGAACTCTGAAGAATGTGAGCTCTTGGGCATTACTTTTGCCCCTGGCAAAGTAAAAGTGGTAGTTTCAAGGAGAGGAGGTCCCATGCTGAAGCAGTGTGGCCAACCCATCCATAAGTGCAGTGCCTTGCTTGTGCGATTGACTGCAAGCAAGGAGATTCTGAATCTTTAAAAGAATGTGTTAAAGACTTGCAGAGGCTGGAGATCACTTTGGCTACATTGGCCTGTCTCCAGAAGCATTGAGTTTTCTTCATTTAGCGCTCATTGCTGGAGGTGGGAGAAACACTGGCGAGGTTTGCACAGCAACCCACACTCAGGATTGGCTGTGGGTTGAGAGTGACTTGTTATTGAACTGTTGGCTGTTGTAGAAACATGGCTTACATGCTATGAACCTTGCCACAGTAATGAAACATAGTTTGATAGCGCAGCTGGGTTCACACCGTCCAATAGTTCACAGTTCATCACCTCTGCGCCCCCCCCCCCCCACTATCGGATCTCATGTCATGTGGACCACTTAGTCTGACCTATTTTATTTGTTGTAACCTATGACTAAGCTTTGCAAAGTATGGCTGTCAAAGTTGGACCGCAAGGAAGGCTGAGCGCCGAAGAATTGAGGCCTTTGAATTGTGGTGCTGGAGGAGACTCCTGGGAGTCCCTTGGACTGCAAGGCGACCAGACTGGTCAGTCCTAGAGGAGATCAGCCCCGACTGCTCTTTAGAAGGCCAGATCCTGAAGATGAAGCCCAAATACTCAAAGGCCTGGAGGAATGTTGTCCATGGGGTCACAATGGGTCGCACATGACTTCACGACTAACAACAAATGACTAAGCTGATTTTAGCTTCTGGTCAGAAGTACCTTTATTTGTACTCCCTTTCCATTACCCTTTTCTTGGGCTGTGGGGGAAGTGAACTTTACTTACTCTGTGCTAGTCTAGCTTCACATGTTGCCACTTCTAATTCATGCAGATATCACTTGGGGCATTGTTAGATGAGGCTACCCTGAATGCAGCTATCACAAAGTCCATTGCTGCCCTCTGGTGATATTTCAAGCACATAGCATATTATCTTTCAAAACCTCCTTATATGCCGCAGCCAGAATATATATACCTGCTCCCTTATATTAACGATGACAGCTATTCTGTATGAAGTATTTTCTGTGTGGAGTTGCAATGTATAAAAACCTGGGCTAGCATTCTGAGATGGAAGAGAGTTTGAATGGGAAAACTGAAGAAAAACTTAGAACTATTCTTTTTATTATTATTATTTTTCAATTTATAATCCTGCCTTTTTCCTACAAAGGGCTCAAGGCAGCTTACTTCATTCTTCTCCTCCATCTTATCCCCACAACAACAACCCTGTGAGGTAGCTTTTGCCTCTGTTACTGATTTTTACCATGTATACCAAATTGGAAGGAACTGGGTCCATGCATTAAATGAGTGTGGAGTACTGCCTGAGTGCTTGAGTTGTACTTCATAGATTAAACTGTTGGTTGTCACCCCTTATGTGGGCTATCTTTTCAAAAGCAGTGTGTTCTAGCAGTTCTGCATGGTAGCAGTTCTGAGGGATGCCTGCCACTGATTTGTTAGTCTTATGGAGTGTTTTTTCCCCATTTTGAATAGAAAACAAGACCCTGCTGTGTTGGGGGGTAAATATTTGCTGCTCCAAAAAGGCTTGAGAGTGTTTTAAGACTACAGCAGCCCCTGCCAAGTCCAAATCCTTCCCCAAGAAAAGTTATGCTAATATGTGGACAGAATTCTAGATAGTGAGTTTTCACCCCCAGCCCTCTGGCTGTTTAAAGAGAGTCATACAAAGCAGAGAGAACTTGTAAACTTGTTTATTGTTATAAAATAGACTTGGTCCATTATCAGTTTACTTAATATTTTAAAAACAGTCAGATTTTGGAATTTTAAATTCTTAAGTACCATCATGCCATGGTAAGCCTAGGTTGGAAGCCCTCACTGCTCTCTCCTTCTCCTTTCACTGTGCTTTTGCACCTCTTCTTGAGCAAGAGTGGTGCTCCTGCTGCCTCCTGGAATGCAGAGCTTGCTCCTGCTCTCACAGCCCCCTCCTGAAAATTTGCAGATCAGGCTGTTCCTACTTCCATGTGACTGCATATGCAGCATTGGTAGGATGAAGGACAACATTTTATTGCATCCAGCAAACATGCTAGAAATTGTTGTTTCTAATCTTGTTTCTCTTTTCTGAAATGTCCAAGAACGTGCGCATAAGCTATCTGGTAGATGGGTGACAAAGTAGGCACAGTTGTGACTAAATGAACACAACAGATATAGTTGTTACTGAGACTATGTTGGGAGGGAGGGAGGGAGGGAGGGAGGGAATGATTAGGTGGGTAAACGTGCAGGCCAGCTGGTCAAGGCTTGAGAGTGGAGTCAAGGGGAAGTGGGCATAGGTTCCACACTGTGCTCAAATGTTCGTGCAACCTGGCAGCAAGCATTTTCATGGTCCAGAAGGTCAGAGCAACTAGTTTGAAGTGCTGACAGATGGACTTCGACAGCATCAGTTATGCCAAGGACAAATATGTTCTGTGTAAATATTCCAGTACTGAAAGAAGTGGTGATGTACCAACATCTTAATAGGTATTTCATAATAACTGTTTGTATGATTATACCTAGTAATTGTTTTGAATGTCTTATTAGCAACTTTGAGAACATTACCCTGAAGGTGTAGGATATAGATTTCTTAAATAGGAGTCAGAATAACTATGTATTGATACATAATTTGAAAATTATTTTTTTCTGCATCATATAACTAGATTCGCTGATAAAAGGAGAACAAAACACAGAAACAATATTCCTTAGTTAGCCATACTTGCAGGGAATGTGGAGCGTTTCAGAACTTGTCTCTCTAAGCACGTGCTCTAAGGTGTGTCACTAAGTGTTTGCAAAAGATACTTTTTGGAATAATTTCAACAGATCTTTTAGTTTCATGCCGATGAGTGCCTACATTTTCAGAGGGGAAAGGTTGAATAAAGCACACATCCATATAGGTGGATTGCAGCAAGGTAGGCTGAATGTTCAAAGCCACAGTTTGTTGTGTTTTCTGGACCCAGAGACTGTGGGTTAAAGTAAGCTATGATAAGCTGTGAGAAGCCATTCACATACATATTGAATTTCCAATAAATGAAAGGTGGTCTTAACTTTATTTGCTTCCCTCCCTCTTTTGCATTATAGGTACTGAAAACTCATCAGCATGATGGGGTCTGAAAACCCAAGCCCGCAGAACCCCAGCTGTAAAATCATGACGTTCCGTCCAACTCTAGAAGAATTCCGGGACTTTGGAAAATATATTGCTTACATAGAATCACAGGGTGCTCATAGAGCTGGGCTTGCTAAGGTGAGTTTTCTCTCAGCCTCTTCTCCAGGTGGTCTGGGACAAGTTCACAGCTCATCTACCTAAGGTTGGCAATTAAGAAGATTTAAGTGGCAGGAGGCCTGAAAGTCTAGGGCATACATGTGTGAAGGTATAATATAAATGTAAAATGTATGTGCAGGTGTTTGGAACATGTGCTTCAAAAGTCTTGGAAGCTCATTAACCAGCAAGATGTTCTTTGCATGATCGTAGTTCACTGCTTATTAGTTGGGGCTTACTGGCCCCACCTGCCTCAAAACCACATGCATGGGACATTTAGCAGGACAGAATGGAGCACTGCTCTGTTCATGAGAGACGAGGTCCTCATTAAAGCAGATCAATTCTAGTTATATTACAGGTTCACTGGGGAATTTGGCATTGATGGAAGCTTTCCTGGTCATGTTTCCTTATCCTGTCAAGTGTACTAATGAATTTCACTATGGCCCATTCCTTAGGCACAGTTCCTTCTGATCAGCCAATTTTAAATTGTACTCACAGTAAGTTTTCTCTTGCCTATGATAGCAGGTCTTTAGCTTAATTCATGTGTCTTAACCACATGTTTGGGGTAGATAAGAAAGTCCTTCTCCTGTGGAGAAAAGGCTGTGGAGACCAGGCATGCAGATAGACAGGGAAAAGTGTACCAAGTGGGGAATAGCAAGGATGGCTATTTCATTCCTTTTTTCATGCCAGTTTCCCAACTTTGGGATGCTGTTTCCCCTTGGTAAAACACTGTTAAATCAGAAGTACACTTCATGCTTATATGCAGGCATGATAGTGCATCAGCTTTTAAGCTAGAATGCTGGATCATTAAATGGCATTGTACATGGGCTATGTGCAGTGAGATTCAGTAGGCCAAGATTGATTTTATTTATTTATTTTATTTATTAAAACATTTTTATGCCGCCCCATTCGCCGAAGCCTCGGGACGGCTCACATTTTCTTGATAAGCTGTCAGAGCAATGGGCAGGTGGCATCCCTGGGACCCCAGCACAGTGCTGTTGGCATTCCTCCTTCCAGCCAGTCAGGGCAACAAATGCTGCTTCAGTTGAAATGATATCTCCATTCTGGTAGGTGGAGGAGTAGGTGTCCACACAGGCCTGTGCAAAAGGCATAGCATGGTGGAGTCTCTTGGCATCATATTTTCCATGGCGTCATCTTTGTAGCCCCCTGCAGCCTTTGTGTTGCAGAATCTGACCTGAGGGATCTGATCAACATGAGGGATAACTCCTTTTCCCTTTGGGAAACGGTTTAGGAGGAGCACACGCTGCCTCCTGGTTGTCCAGGCCTTCTTGCATAGATGGTGCAGATGTGCTGTGAGCTCCCTGCAGCATTAGAGCTTTCCAGTCTCGTCCACCATCTCTCTTTGTCTGCCTTCACCCTCTCCCCTTTCTATGTCATTTGTGGCAATGATTTTCTGTTACTTCTTTACCAGGACCAGCTGAGTTACTTCATACCAGAGTTTCATTCTTCTTCATGGTATCTCATGTGGTGTAGAGAGCCAGTGTGGTGTAGTGGTGAAGAGCATGGGACGGGGACTCAGACAGTCTGGGTTCTAGTCCCCGCTCAGCCATGGAGCCAACTGGGTGACTTTCAGCCAGTCACAGACTCTCAGCCCAACCTACCTCACAGGGTTGTTGTGGGGATAAGATGGAGGAGGAGGTAGATGTAAGCTGCCTTGAGCCCTTCGTAGGAAAAAGGCAGGATATAAATCGAAAAATAAATAAATAAATCTGTTCATCACACACACAGGCTTCGCAGCTGCATAGATCCTGTTGTTGGGAAGCTTCTGTAACTAAACATTTGCCAGTTCCTTTTTGACTGCCATCATACCTAGATTGGGAATTGCTCCTCTCCTACCACTTGAGTATCCAGCATTCCTTTTTTCTTACCTTTCTTCTTAATCCATGGGTCTCTGTAGGAACTGGAGGGATGTGTGGTAGCCTCTCCCCATGCTATCCTGGAACAGAAAGGGGAGGGACTTCTGCCCAGCAAATGCTTAACTAAAGAAGCTTCCCAACTACAGGATGTGTGTAGACCCAAAGCCCATTTGTGTGGATACTCGGATAAGCATCTGAAGAATGACAGTTACAGGTATGCAACATGTCTTTCAGGTGGGCAGTCTTGTTAGCATTGATGGCAATAACTTGATGCCAAATAGTGCTTGAAACTCACAAAGGAAGTGAGGAGGCAGTTAATTCAGAGCAGAGAAGGAAGGTGGGTGGGAACATGCATACCAGGGGCCTGCTCTCAGTTTCCAGATAGTCCTAATCTTCCCTGTTTAGTGAGTCTCACCCTTCTATTTTCTTAAGCACGTCCCTTTTTAATGTAGTGGTTTGCTGGCAGTGAGTCTCTAATTCAGCCTGGCCCAGGTGCCTTTAATCTTGCTTTGATAATTTCACTGCTGATGATCAGTTTCTCAGGACTTCTCTGGATTTGATCCAGCTAGCTGGCCCCCAGCATGGCTTCCTTGACTACTGTGAAACAGATGGTTTTGCTTCCTTACTGAGAACTCAGAGTTGGGTTGCACTCATGTAGCAGCTGCTTGGCAGCACCCCCTAAGTAGTAACTGCTGTAAAGTCACAGAGCCTGTCTCCTTTCCCCTTCAAGCCTGCATAAGGCAAAACATCTTAATATTAGCTGGGGAAACTGCGGCTGGGAATGCAGTCTGAGGTATGTTTGCAAGATCTCAGGAGTCTGAAGAGGGGAAGGAGGAAGGGATCTGTGAACTGAGATGGGGGCAGCTAGCACGCCTAAGTTAGCCTAGTAGCCTTTCCAGAAGTTTCTCAGACTTCATTCATTGCCAGTGGGAGGAACTAATCAAGATACCTCTCTTTAAGGTACTGTAGGGACTTCTGTATCCAAGCCCAAAAAGTAAGTCTTCCTATTCCTTTGCTTTGAGTGAGGAACTGTTCAGGATGCTGCCTTTGAAAAACATGCTTGCACATTGTTTCCTTGCAAAAGCACATACTTCTAGCACTAGGCTTTTTTTTTAATAACTTGACCTGTGAGATAACTGCTGGATAATGATTATATATTTTAAAAAGAAATAACTTTGCATCAGAACAGAAAGTATACTTGAATTATCAACAAGTTTCATGGTTGGGCAGCCAACAGTTACAAAATGAGTGCCCCCAGTCCCTGCAGCAAGCAGTCTAGAATCCTAGGTAGTCTAAAGCAGTGGCCTTGACTGTGGATGACTGCTTGTGTCCCTACTCTGGGCTGTCTGCAGTCACAAGAGGTGACCTGGAAGAGCAGCTTGGCCATACAGCTAGCCTTGCGCATAAGGCTCAGCCTGAGCCATGCTTCTGCCTTGCTTTACCAAAGTCACAATAATTAAGAAGCTGCTGTGTAACAGCATCCTTGATACTTGACAGTATTTGACAGTGAGAACAGCCAAAGAAGTTGATCATCGTCAGTTGTTATTTGACTGGGTAATTGACCAGCATGAAAAGTTTACTAGTTCCAGAACTGTTCAGGATAAGCAGTCAATGATTAAAAACCCCCGTCAAGTAAGGATGATTAGGTATGACCTGACCAATTAGATGGCAGGGAGAACTGATCCTAAAGAGGGCTTTTTAACATTCTTGCTTTGAAAATACACAAAAAAGGGATCTTGTTCCTGGGCGCTCTAAGAAGTTTGCTTATAATATAAGTGGCTCTTTAGAAAAGTTCTTAAAACTCTTTGTTAATCCTTCTCTTTGGTTGGCCAGCCAGTGGAACTAGGCTAAGCTTTCCCTGAGGGAGGACAGTCTGCCCAAATGTTTGGACTAAGGGCTGTATCTTGTGATTGGGGAGAGTAAGCAAGGCATCTGCAGGTTTCTGAAGTACTCCTGTGCATTAAGCACCCTTGCAAACATTTGGTAGTGCTCCGCACATTTTGTTTTGTCTTTTATCCTGTGCCATGTAAGAGAGGAACCAAATCTGTCCTTGATTGGGCCAGTGGATGGGCTTTCTTCACTTATGGGAGCAAATGTGCTTCTTTTCAGCGTGGTCAGTTTGTCCTTGTTAGTGGGCAAGTAAACTGAGCCCATATATAAAACCATTTAGATGCCTCACAGTGGGCCCATCCAAATTCTACTTTAGCAAATTATCAGTTAATTATTGATTTGCTGTGTTACAGTAACCTAACAAAAAATCTTAGCTAGCTTTGGGTTTAACCTACAAAAAACACAAAGTGTTGTAGTACAGACAGCATGCAACAAGCCTGGACTGGGCCTACTGGAAGCTGCATACTCAGTTCAGAAGCAACTCATAGCCAGTATGCATCACAGCAAACTGTTGGTTTTTTAAATGCAGAATTTGCTCTTGTTATGCGTGAACAGTATTGTTCGTGAAGCCTTAGTGGAACTGAACTGGCCAATAGGGAAGCCAAGAGAACCCTCGCGCTCTCTTAGTGAACAGTTTTGTGTCCCCTAACCTTCCCTTATGCCTCTTAATGATTAAGCATCTTGTCTTGTGGTTTCTCCCCTTCCCTTACAGGTAATTCCCCCCAAGGAGTGGAAGCCTCGCAGAAACTACGATGACATCGACAGCATGGTGATCCCGGCTCCCATCCAACAGGTGGTGACAGGGCAGTCAGGGCTCTTCACCCAGTACAATATTCAGAAGAAGCCCATGCTGGTTGGAGATTATCGCCGCTTAGCCAACAGTGAGAAGTATGTACCTGCCGAGACCAGGATGGGGTGGTGGTTTTACTGTGGAGAAGCTATCTCTTGTTGCATTGCCTCCATGGCCCTCCTTCTGGCCCTCTGTTGGCTAGGCTGATTCAGACCTTGAGGAAGTGGATGTGGCTAAGGGCTGGGAGGCAGTGTGTCTCTGTGAGCAGGGCAGAGAGAGATGCACTGACTTTCCAGCAAGGCTGGGTAGGCAAGCAAGGGTGCTCCAAGCCCTGCCTTTTGATCATGTCTGTGTTGGTAGCTGCTGGCAGCAGCTGTGTTGCCAGTTGTGAGATGGCTTCTTCATTTTCATGGAGCACATGGAGCCAGCTCTCCTCGCAGCTCTGTTCCTGCTGTAGCATAGTAGGTGGAACACAACTTTACCTAGGAAGCACTTTTGTATAGGGTGCAGTAGATCCTGGGCAGACATACAGTTGTTATGAATAATACCCACCTCTTCTCCTGGAGGCACCTGCATATGAGAATGTCACAAATTATGGACTCTTTGTGGTTTATATGCAATATGCAGAAATAAGGTTGTGCATACAATGGTCAGAGGTCTAAAATTGCTTCCCATTCATCTTTGAGCATACCGTGTTATATGGAGCAGGTTTGCCACTTCTCACCTTATGCTTCTTTCTTCTTACCAGGTACTGCACCCCACGTCACCAAGATTTTGATGACTTGGAACGCAAATACTGGAAGAACCTGACTTTTATGTCACCTATTTATGGGGCAGATATCAGCGGTTCTCTGTATGATGCAGTAAGTGACAGTGAAGAGAGACCAGTGCATGTCCCCGCTGCAAAATTAGATCAGCCTGAAACAGACTTAATTTCAATGGGAACCCTGGGAGAATTGTAATTGGATGTGAGTGCAGAGCACTTAATGTGTTGACATTGTTGGCCTCTTTCAAAAGAAATGCAGTTCCCTAGTTGGGAACGGTGACAGCTTGAAACTGGTTTCATGTCTGTGAGGATCCTTAGGGCAGGATATTGGGTTTGCCCACCAATGCAGGTTGCCTGGGTGAAGGAGTTTCAGGTGCCATTCCTTCCGTATGCTGTAGCCAGAGAGAGGCTCTGCCTCTTTTGGTGCCTCTGCAAACTGAAGCTCTATATAACACTGATAGCTGAATCTGTTCCTTACAGAGAACAGTTCTGCATGGTGCAGTGTCATATTGTTTAGTCAGCACTTTCCCTTGGACCTGCTGTCCAGTAGATTGTTGCATGTCTCATGAACCTGCTGTTTGTTACTGGCTGTCAGTATGTTCCTCCTTCTGAACGTGTTTCCTAATGGCACTGCCTGGGAGTGTGGCAGCTTGAGTGCTGCCCAGGGGTGCAGACCCTCACCTCCAGGGGCCAAATGTCTAGCCCTTTGAGATTCCTCAGGAGGGTTTCCCCTTGTCTTCTCCAGCCCCTGATTGCTTGGTGATTTCCCAGCTTTTCAGCAGTCTCATACCCATCCTAAAAGGTAGAAAACTTAGTTACTGGGGCAGGAGGTTAGAGCTAAACTATGCCCAGTACTTTGCCCCTGCCCATATCACCCTTGGCCCTCATCCCCACTGGAAGGCAGCCTCTGCTATTTCCAAAATGGAAATTGGTTGTGAGGCTGAAAGAGGGTCTACACCAGGGGTCTCAGACTTGCGGCCCGTGGGCCAATTGCCAGGATGGGTGAGGCACAGGAGAGGGGCCCTGCGGCCTTCAAAGTTCCGGCGGTGCCGGGGCCGGCTGCGGGATGAGCGGTGGAATACTTGATGCAGCCCAGCCTCACCCAGACTCTACTTGCAGCGGCCCCCAGGTAAGTTGAGTTTGAGACCCCTGGTCTACACTGTCTGTCCTGAAGCAAAAGAAGTCCTTGCTTTCCCTTCTGATAGGTGGATTCTTTTTCCTCCTATAGGATGTGGAAGAGTGGAACATTGGGAGCCTGAACACACTCCTAGACATGGTGGAGCATCAGTGTGGAATCATCATAGAAGGCGTGAACACGCCCTACCTCTACTTTGGGATGTGGAAGACCACATTTGCTTGGCATACAGAAGACATGGATCTTTACAGCATCAACTACCTGCATTTTGGAGAGCCCAAATCCTGGTAAGTATCTGGTAGAGTGCTGAGCATTCGAAATGGGGCTGAAAAGCCACCTTGTCCCCAGCAGGGCTATCAGTGGAGTTGTGACTCCAGATCCTGCCAGCAGATGCTCATCTGGACTGTGCCAAGGAAGCTGAAGCTGTGAGCTGGGAAGGTGCCTTGGACTGTTCCTGGGAGGGGGCAAGGCAGGGCTAAGCTTAAGAGGTTCAGGGAACTAAAATGACATTCAAGGAAGACACAAAACCTGCACGTCAGCCCAGGTTACGTAGCCCATACGTTCCTGGGGGTGGATTCTTCCTGAGTGCAAATGTAAGCAAGAGCACCAGCTTTTCACCTGGGACCTCTGAAGGGGCTGCTTGGCCCGCAGAGCCTCCGTGCCATCTTAAGGACCTTTGCAAATAGCCTGCATGACTCTGATCGTAGCACTCAGGGATTTTCCAGGGATACATGTGGAAACATTTCTGCAGAGCATGTGTCTGCAGTGCAAATGACTGAAGGTACAGAAGATGATGAGAGGAGCTCATCTGTTCTGCTCTGGATACTTCCATGTGGAAGTCAAGGTGGATTTGTGAACAAAATTGGGTTAGAAGTAGTGCTTCATGGCTTTGAATGTGCACTACCACATTCTGTGTCCGCAGCTTTCTGACAGGCTCTTGGAATGTATTCTTGTTTTCACCAGTCCTTTTTCTTTCTCCTGTTTCCTTTCCACTGTACTTAACCACCTCTGCTCCTGCAATGTGTGTACTTTGGTTTAAGGGGTCAGCTTTTAAATGAAAGCTAAATTGGAAAAACTTGTAATGGCTGGCAGTTACAGGCTGGATTTGTTAAACCCTACTTCTGAAAAGCGACCCTAGATTTGCAACCTGCACCATTTGCCTCATTGAACAAAATACATCTGGCAAATGTTAGAATTTGCAAGCCAGTGAAAAAGGTGGCACCACAAGTCTCTTGGAGGTGTTGAAGCATCATTTCACTCATCTGTTTCCCCCTGAGAAGTCTGGGTTGTTGAAATCCCTTTGCCAGTTGCTGCGATACTGTAGGGAGCCAAAGGGCATTGCATGCCCTTCACAGCCCATCATGGACTTCTCAGAAAAGGCCTAGCAAGGTCAGAGCTTCTACAAAGCTTACGAAAGTTTGTGCCTTTCTTAGGAAGCTTTAAGTGGGTTTTGGTGCTTGCCTGGCTTAACAGGTTCTGATGAGGAAATGGATCATGCTTGTATGCTGTTACAGAGCTTAGAATGTGAAAAAGACTAGTGGGGAAAAGGCACTCTTCTGATTCCCAAGCATTTCTGCCTCTGTTTATGCTCAACAATCTGATGGATCTTGCTGCAGTTTACAAATAATGGTATTTGCCTGCTGGAGTATACTTATCACTGTTAAGGTGCAGCAGTGCGGTCTCGCCTCTGCATAATTTTCTAATGGAGCTGCTGCAAAATGCTGCTAGGAACAGGAGGAGGCCCTAATGTGTGAGGAAAGGACTGTGCTTCAGTTGGTGGTATGGGCTCACCCAGCGTGGCTGGTATGGTGCTCTTGTGAAACTTCTTAGCCCACAGTTGAAGCGTACATTATTCAGAGTTGAAGGGCATTCTGCCTCTGCTCAAGAATCCTCTACAACCTTTCAGTTAGCTGCTAATTTTTTGAAAGCTTGGAAGATTGTTCCTTCTTTTTGACTTCCGCTAGGTGGTGCTGGCTGCACAGGCAGAAGCTTTCTCTGTATTTGCAAGGCACCATGATCTCTTCAGATGCTTTGCTTTAGCACACTGTTGAAGCCAAGAATCTGGTGATGTCCCTTCATTGTGGAACTGTGAATTCTTCCAACTTCCATTAGACTGGGTTAATTTTCCTTGTCACTGCTAGTTGAAGTTTTGTAAAGGTAGGAGCAGTCTTTTCTCTGCTTCAGGGTTTCATGTGGGCTGCTGGTTAGTTACTGTGTGAACTCTTTATTGACTTTTTATCTGATCTAACAAGGCTGTTAATGTTCTTAAGGATTTCTTCAGAATGGGTGGTTGACGTCAATGACCTGGTTCATACAACATGACAGCCTAACTTAGCCATACGGGCTGCTATGTTGTGCTAGCTGCTATATTTGCTTAGTGTCTGTGAGCCTGTGTTGTGAACCCAAGGCAGCAGGGGTTGTTTGAGGGTTAAATAAGGCTCTAATAACCTCTGGTTTGTTTTAGGATGATCCAGTGTTTGCCTACCAAGCTACCCTTGCTGCCTGGGTTTGAATGATGCAACAAGCAGCAGCAAACAGGGCATGTGACACGATATGACAGCCCCTGCAAGTTAATAACAGCCACATTGTGCTGTTGTATTGTGTCAACCAGGTCAATGTTTAGGGCCAGCATTATTAATAGGTTAGTTCCTAAAGGAGGCTGCTCTGAGTTCCACCCAGCCATTTCTTTTGCCTGCTTTTTCTTGAACTCCCCTTTTTATTCTAGTGGGGCTGGTTTTTATTCTTTCCAGTGTAAACACACACATGGATTTTCTCACCTCTTGTCTCTGCATTAAAGTCCTGCAGAAAGTTGGGAAATGAGCAGAGGGCATGCTACTGGGGCCTCATTAAGCAGGGGGACTGTAGACCAGTAGCCAAGCACCTGCTTGCCATCCTGGACACCTCTCCTTGGAAGGCAGGAGAGAATGGTAGAGGCCTTTTTTCTCCAATGAACAAAGAGCATGGGTTGAGCCTCCCACTCTCCCTGTTAGGCATGGCTATTTATACTTGTGCTATAAAAATGAAACAAACAAACAAACATGATTGGAAAGGTGAGAGAGCTGCCATGAGGGCCTCAGTAGCAAAGGAACTGGGAGGATGTTGCGCTTGGGGTGCTGCTGTGCATGGGGCTGGAAGCCAGCCTTAGGCCTAGCTTTGTGGAAGCTAGGCCAGCACATGGCCTCCTTTGAAGCCCAAGTTGAACTCAGACCACCCTCGCCCCCATTCTCCAGAGGAGGCTAGCATGGAGAACAGATGCTGATCTTTCCCTACCAGCAAATGGGTCATGTCAGGGGAGGTGGGGTTCTGTGGGTGTCAGTGCTAGCTTCTTACTGTATTCCGTTCTAGGAGCAGGACTTTGCTGTGGACAGACACATCCTTTACTGGGATCCAGAGAACCACCAATGAAATGGTTCCACTTTAAGGTAGAGCTGTAGCTCCTGTCTGAGTTGGCTTAAATTTGGCTGAATTTGTACAGCTTTGCCCCACAAGGAGTCCTGGGAATAGTAGCTTTTTGATGGATGCTGCAAACATTTTGAGATCCTAGTCCGCTCACAGTTCAGCACCTTTCCTTGTGAGGAAGGGGACCCATCTAGCTTCTTGATTCTAGCACATGGCAACTTAGATGCCTCTGCAAATTCATACCTGGGCCACAGGGGTGATGGGCTTTTTCTGTGAAGCAGACAGCAAGTTAATATGGGCTGGCTGCATAACTGGGCTCCTGGAACTGCCTTTGTTCATGGGGAATTGCTCTGGTCCTGGGGCTTGATTTGTGCCGTTTGTAAAGGGAAGGGCTACACATGCTAGTTTGCATTCTCTATCGTTGCTTTTCTCATCACAGTGTTATTATTTTCTGCATATATAAAGTGTATGCCTTTGAGAAGAATATTCCCATGCACTGAGGTTAGAATCATGCTTCCTGTAGGGCAGCCTGGGACTAATCACTTCCTTCAAGAGCTGTGAGGTGCAGGCAGAACAGGAATCCACCAGTAAATGCAGTGTTAATACTTGGCAGGATTCTGCACTACTTAGTCCAGCATTAAAGGGATATCTGAGAATACCCTCTGCGTGTGCACAGTTTTGATAAGAGAAGACTAATCCTACTGCCTGATGGGGGGTTTGTAATCAGAAGACCATTCGAGCAGATGTTGCTTTTGTATTAAGGCCAAAAGCAGGCTGGGCAAAGATTTATTAACAGAGATTAGTTGAAACCTCTTCTGGCCAATGCAGGAGGGCTCTGGATTTCTGATCTGAAACTCTGTTCTCTCGAGACGGAGTTTGTGCGTGCGTGCGCGTGTACACATGCATTTATATATTTGTTGTTGTAAAATACCATCAAGCTATCTCTGACTTAATAGCTGCGCTATGAATGAGTGGCCTCCAGAATAGCTTGTCCTTCACAGCCCTGCTCAGCTCTTGTAAGCTCAAGGCTGTGGCTTCCTTAATGTAATCAATTCATCCATCTCATATGTGGTTGTCTTCTCCTTCTGCTTTTGACTTTTCCTGTCCTGATTGTTTTCCCCAGGAGTCCTGCCTTTTCGTGATGTGCCCAAAGTATGACAGTCCCAGTTTTGTCATATTTGCTTCCAGGCTTGGTGAGACCTAGGCCCCACTTCTTCATCTTTCTGCCAATACAGGATGCTTGCAAAGTTTCTCCAGCTCTGTTTTTTAAACACATAAGTTTTCTTCTTTTTGCTGTCCAGCTTTCACACTCTACAAAGTGAGTGGGAAAACAATTGTGGGAGTGATCTTGGCCTTAGTCTCCAGTGAAACTTCCTTACACTTGATGATCTTTTCAAATTCCTTCATTTGTTTCCTTCAGTCATCAATTTTCTTGGTTACAGTCTCCATTTGAGTGGATGACTGAACCAGTTGCAAATTCTTCACCATAGACAGCAAATGTCCACAATTCTTCAGTAGTCATGATTTCTGTTTTCTCCTACATTTGCACTTGAATTATTGCAAAGGAGTTGCTTGAATTATTTGCTCCTTTCTGCAAGTAGCATGGTATCAACTACATATTATTGATGTATCTTACTCCATGTTTCACTCCTTCCTCTGATCCTAATTCAGCTTTTCTTATGATATGTTCCGTATACAGATTGAACAGGTGTGATTAAAATACACCTTTGCCTAAAGGAAATCCCTTCTGTTTCCTCATTTTGTGTGTGTGCACACAAGTGTGTGTGCTAGAGGTGGAGTGAGAGTGGTGCATTGTGTAGAGAGACAGCATCTTCTTAAGTCATTGCAGTATGTAGATCTGCATTGAGACTCCCATAAGCTGATCCTT